GAGCCTTTTTGCGGCCGCAATTACCCTGATCACATCGGTGACATTCCTTCGATGTAATTCTTGTTGAGCCCATGGTTTTAGGTCATTGAGGTAGCTAAACAGCTTATCCTTCTCGGACATATCCTGTATGTCCAGTATTAGCGCAGAAAATTGCTTCACGTAGTCTTGGATGTAAGTACTTTGGCGAAGTTGTCTCAACTTCCTCCTTGCGACAAACTCCGTGTTCTCAGGTAGGAACTGAATTCTTAACTCCTGCTTTAAGTCCTCTCATGTGTCCACTCGACATCGACCTTGGTGGATCTCCTCCCAACGGGTTTTCAACCAAAGTTTTGCATCCCCGTTCAAATACATGGTTGCTATTGAAACTGTTCCATGTTAAACAAGAAATTTTCGAGCTCTTTTGCGTCCCTAGTACCTCCATAGCAATGAGGCTCAAGTTCCCTCAAGTTTTGTGCCGGCGCAACAAGGGTGTTGCTCCCTCCCACATTTAGTGCCCTTGTGAGCGTTGTCACTCTGGAAGTGAGTTCTGCCACGACTTCGTGCAAATGTTGCACAGAGTCTTTGGTATCATCCGTCAGTCGATCGACTAGGGCCTCAACCTTGTCAATTCGGGATTCAGCTTCTTCTTACGAGCTCTCTACCCCAAGAAGCCTTCGTTGGCCTTGGTAGAGTTCCTCTAAGCTCGCTTCAAGAACATCCAAGCGGGTTTCCGCCGTTATGAGTCTCTCCTTATGGCTCTTCTTCCCGGTTGGCGCTCCAGATTGTGCCTCCTCCGCTCGCGGAGAGTAGCCAACTTCTCGCTCATCATGTTCGCTACCATGATCCTCCAACGCGACTCCACCAACATGAGAGCGAGTTTGCACTTGCAGCCCACTTGCGGCTGCTTGGGGCAATGGTCCGGCTTGCCCCGCCTTGCTTGATTTGCCACGGTGCTTAGCCATGGCGAGATTGCGAAGTTTCTTCGCTGCTTGCTCAAATTGCTTGCCTACTCTAGTACTACAATGTCATAGACTTAACTGGAATTGCCTAAGTCGTGAGGCACCCTTGCGGCAAAGTCACGAACTTAGCTGCGGTTTCCTAAGTCTTGAAGCACCCTTGCACCAACTCCTCGGACTTAGCTGGGATTGCCTAAGTCATGAGGCGCCCTTGCGACATATGCGTCCGCAAAGGTTCAGCCTAGTTGCAACCTCGTACAAGTCCCCAAGGAACTGTAAAACAGAAAGTTGATTAGATTGCAAAATGAGCGACGAACAAGTCCTGACGTCTCGCGAAGAGGGAAGCTTTACAAGTAATTCAGCAAGCACCTTGTGTGCAAGAGAAAAAAAAGAGGAAGGAGAAAACAAGGACTTTAGAAGGTAGAACGAACAGATGCAAGTCCACAAACAACTGCTCACCGGGTGTCGAGCGCGAAGGCAAGTTCCCGTCAAGTTAATGTGCGAACTTGTGAAGATTTTTCAACGCCCGATAATATACCGAAGCCCCATCCAGCCCTGTGCTACCCGGGGGGTTCCAGGGTGCTGAGATGGCTGACGTTTTGGTGTGCTGCTGCGGCTTGCAGAAAACAAGCCGTGGCACGTGAAAACGAAGCCATTTTGGGGCATTTCGGCCTGGTGCGACGAGCGGTCGCACTACAACGTTGCAACCTGTTCGAACATGCATTTTTACGAGCAAAAACATAAAACCAAGGCAAAACAAGCTGCCATGTCTATGTACAAGCATGCAAAAGCGACGAACGGTTCGTTGAACAAAGTTGTTGCTAGTGCGCGACGACTGTTCGTGACAATACGCCACCGACTGCAACATCTTCCTTTGGCTTATGCCTTTGATTGCAAGCCTTCTCCGCCCTTCGCTGTTGTGTGCAGCGTCTTCCTTCAGCTTACGTCGTTTACCATGAGCCTTCTTCGCCCTATGCCGTCATGTGTAGTGCCTTCCTTTGGCTTACATTATCGATCACAAGCCTTCTCCGTCCTACGCTGTTGTGTAAAGCTTCGTTTTTCCACCTTATGTAGCTTACATCATCGATCAGCTTTGTTCCTCCATCGGTTACCACCTTCCTCCACCCTAAGCACCACTACAATCACGTGAACCCTACTTGAGTCGAAGAATACAACTGTCCTCCACCATGCACTATCGCCTTCCTCGATGCCATACTCAATAGTCTTTTGCCAACTGGTTACTTCTCCATCTCCCATCTTTGTTAAATGATCTCTTATTTCATGCTCGCTTCTGCACTTTGTTTAACGATCTCCAATTTCCCGGACTTTGTTGTTACGAACTTATGAACACTACTAGATGGGTACACTATTAAGAGTTAGGACATATAGTACACTGTTTAGGTAGATAAACACAGGGTTTGTTGTACCGGTGCGTATTGCTTAGTATGGACGATACATATCAGTCTGATAGAATACCAATACTAAAACTATCCTCTATCGGGCGGTTTTGGTCACTTGACCTCGTATCAGCGAAACAAGGTCTGTACCAGTTGGTAACGATCGGATTTCTACCGTTACCGATCAAGGGTTGAGATTGCCCTATTTCAAATGGTTAATTTGACCATTTGAGGCTTTGAAAAGCGTTTTTAAACCCTTTCCTCCCTCCTCTTTCAACTCATTTTACTCTCAATCTCTTAAACTCTCTTAAACCCTTATTCACTCACATCTATCTCTTATTCTCACATTTTCACTCTCTTAAACTCAACAAGACCACAATTTGTATATTGGATCAGTTTAGGAAGCTAATTTGGGAGGATTAAGAATGTATTCTCTTTCTAGATCTTTATTGATTTATGAGATAATTAAACCTATTCTTGTGGTGTATGACTTAATGTCTAATATGTTATTTGATATATTTTTGATGGTAGAATAGTATTAATTATGGAGTAATTACAGTCTTTAATGTTGTGATTAGTGTGTTTAATATTGATTTTTTGAAATTAGACATTTAAGAGGTCAAATCTTTATATTTCATGTATATTAAAGATTGGATTATATGTTTGTGATAGTATATTAGGTTTAATGAGGTTTTAATTAAGTTTTTTAATGTTATGATTAATGATTTTAATAATGAGCAATTTGAGGGTGGTGCATAAACCGAGTAGTATCTTATACATACGATCCAAGATTCTGATCATGGAGCTCGACGAAGTACTAGTAAAGTTTATGCACGAAAGGGGAAGGGGAAGCCAGTGGACGATTTTGAGCAAATGCAACAGAGCCTACACGACATAGATACAGAGCGTAGCTCATCGTATTCACAATCGTCATATTATGGAGAATCTTACGATAAAAATAGTATGATGATAGTTGGTCATACTTCTTCGAGCAACAATACGATGATCGATCTTACGATATGGAGCAGCAGATCAGTAACAAAAGTAGAAGTTCTGAAATTCTCTATACTCTGTACCATTACATGCCACATTTGTCCTTGCCTCAGGAGTCGCCTCGAACACGTGGTTCACGATGATCAGACTACGACCATCATCACATTGATGAACCAATGGCATACAGTGTATCGGTATACTATGTTGTGGGATCAATTTCAGGATTGGGTCCGACAAACATATCATATTGATATATAGATATATAGGATCGAGGACCCCGATCCACCGACAAACATAATAATTCAAATGATTTTTTTGTAGATAATTCAATATTAATGGAAAGACAATCCAGAACGTACCACAAAGCTACTCCTCAAAGCCCGAAAAAGAAATGTGATACTATTCTTTTCTAATTTATATTATTTTTATTAAAATTATACTAAATTTATATTTATTTCTAACTTAAAAACCCTAATCTAACTTTTTTTATTATTTTGGGCATACCGTCGATACGCCCAAAGGTATTCTATATTTTTTATTTTTTATTTTATTATTTTGGATTTTTTAAGTATTTTTATTTTTTTAAAGTATTTTTGGATTTTTTTAAGTATAGATCGAAATTGCAATCCTTGGATAAATAGGTATTCTATCTAAATAAGGAACGAAGGATCCTCCTATCTGAATAAGGGTGATTCTATCTTCCTATTTGAATAAGGGTGATTCTATCTTCAGGAACCCACTGATCCTCCTATCTGAAGAAGGGTGATTCTATCTTCAGGAACCCACTGAATGGGTGAAAAATGCATCCATACATAAAATTAAAAGATTTAAACTCAAATAAAGACACAAACATAAAGTCACTGACCAGTAAAAGAGTGACTGGGATGGATCAGGTAAAGCAGACTTTGGAAGCACAAAAAAAAAAAAAAAAAAAGCACTTTAGTCACGAGACAATTATAAAAGTGGAGCAGCATCAGAGTTTTATAAAAAAATTTCCAAAGGATAGTAAGTAAATAATTCAATACACGATAGACAGATAAATTTCTGAAACAACTTAATAATTTGACACACACAAGATGGATGACAAGCAGAAAATTCAATGAAATGGGTATCATCTCACAAACTATGAAGCTATAGTTGACAAAAAGCACCGTAATCATCAAAACAACTAAATAAGCCCCCCAAAAACGTTGTTGTGTCTGTGCTACCCTAAATGCCCATAAATATAACAAGAGCGGTATGATGTTTGCAATTCCAATGACTACACATTATTGTTTCAAAGAGTAATAACATACATATAGTCATTGACCAAACACACTAATGAACAAGACTACTGCCATCCACACCAGAATAGATGGCGTTTTCCAAGCTCACAAGCAGATGCAAATGCTGTTTGATACATTACGTATATAATTGCTACGTGCAATCGCAACCAAGGCAGAGCAGACGGTGACCGGTGAGAAAGGAGACGACAGCAGTTAGTATGATCGGAACCCTACCCCCACAAATGGTTCCAAAATATGACGTCGCAGCACGGTACGATCGGAATTCTTGTTTCTCCAAACAACGATTAAAGAAAATGAAATTCGACATGATCATCCAAAAATCATCAAGAAACAACTGAAATGAAAACCCTAGAATTGTAAGATCAAGAAATCGTGAGGCGGCACTTGACCTTCGGAGAAGGGGAAGGATTTATTCCCAGGAGTAAGGCCCGTAGGGATCGCCCCCGACGCGGCCACCTTCAAGAATCGAAGGGGACGGATTCCCATAGAGCAGATGAATCCGCCATTCCCAATGCTTTTTGATCCAAGAATCGAAGGGAGAGCAGGTAGACTGGCGGTGGCGAAAGGGAAGCAGCAACGTGGGCAATCGCGCGCTGCGACTGGGTCGGGTCACGTGGCCCCCGAGAGAGATTGTTTTAGATTGAATGGAATCTCTCGCAGCAACGAAGACATTCTACGCCGTTTCGTACCTCTATGTTATTGGCAAGAGGCGGACCCTCTACAGCCGAGTGTCTCTGTTATCTGAGAGGTAAGAACTCTCGGTAGTGTTGAAAGGGTAGCAAATGCAGCGGCCATTTTCCGAGGGTAAGTATTCTTGCGGAGAAGCAGGAAAGACAGATAGGAAGTCTGACCATTTTATCCTCGAAGACGTCTTAGAGGGATCACTCTGATAACAAAAGCTTCATCGCTCGAAGACGATGTCACTCCCGATGAATTGTCTCTCCCTATCAATTTCTTTATCTTTTCCGTAACGTTTGCTCTTTACGTTAGCTAGAAAAAGTCATCCACATTTTCATTAGTCAATCAATCAAAACAATTATAAAATGTGTTAACAAGATGAGAAAATAAAAATTATAATGATAAAGTAATTTATTATATCGACAAAGTAAAATGTGACTTTTCACGTGATCAGCCCGAAACTTCTGCCGTCGAAAGATTCCTTGCCATCGCTTGGTAGGTAGTGAACAAAATAAAATAAAACTTGGTACTTATTAGGTGGTGTCCAAAACTTGTACTGGTAGAGATATATCCATAGAAAAAATTAAATTCTTTAGCTTATAAGGAAAATAATATCTTTCCTTCCTAAAATTTTTAATTCTAATCGTCAATGCAGTTTGAATTTACTTTGAATCTGATTAAGATATTTTATCACATAATTTGAATCTAATAATTTTTTTTTAATATATAATTGGAATCAATGTTTCAATTGGCTTTGCTCCAAGAAGTCGTTACCATTTGATGCGTGTCCCGACACGTCACTCGCCCCTTTCGTCGACAAAAATGCCGCGGCAGATCTCGCCCACGGTCGTCGACTCTCCTTCGTCTCGTTGAACACACGGTCACGCGTGACACAGGGTGCGGGTCCCGCTCGGGGCTCGCTGCGAGCGCCTCTCCCGGACCGACCCACACACGGGATCCTGCGTCGCCTCTCCCAATCGCTACGCGGATAACTTGAGAGGAGAGACCTTATATATGCGACCAAGTTCCTCCCGGCAAAGCTCAAAGATCTCATCCTTGTTTGGCGACGATGGGGAAGTCCGGCTACGGCCCCGACGGCATCTACCGCTCGCTCCGCCCGCGCATCGCCTTCCCCGCCGACCCCGCCCTCTCCATGGTCCCCTTCCTATTCCGCAGCGCCGCCGCCCACCCCGACCGCCTCGCCCTCGTCGACGCCGATACCGGCGATGCGCTCTCCTTCGCCGACCTCCGCTCGTCGGTCCTCTCCGCCGCCGCCAGCTTATCCTCCCTCTTCGGCCTCCGCAAGGGCGACGTCGTCCTCATCTTCGCCCCCAACTCCGTCCACTTCCCCGTCGCCTTCCTCGCCGCGCTCTCCCTCGGCGCCATCGCCACCACCGTCAACCCCCTCTACACCGTGCCCGAGCTCACCAGGCAGGCCCGCGACGCCCGAGCCAAGGTCGTGGTCACCGTCCCCCAGCTTTGGTCGAAGGCCGCTGCCTTGCGCCTACCGTCCATCATCATCGGCCCCAAAGACTCCCCCTTGTCCCCTCCTCCCGCGTCCCCCGTCGCCTACTTCTCCGACCTCGTCGCCAACCCCGTTCCCGCCGGGTTCTCTCCGCCGCCGGTGTACCAGTCGGACGTCGCCGCGTTGCTGTACTCCTCGGGGACCACCGGAGCCAGCAAGGGCGTCGTCCTGACGCACCGGAACTTCATCTGCACCGCCCACATGGCGACGGTGGACCAAGACTCGAGGGGCGATGGGCCCAACACCGCCATCTGCTTCCTGCCCATGTTCCACATATTCGGCTTGTCAGTGATCACCTACTCCCAGCTGTGGCGGGGCAACAGCGTCGTCTCGGTGTCGAGGTTCGACATGGATTCGATCTTGAAGGCGGTCGAGGGGCACCGAGTGACGCAATTCTTCGGCGTGCCGCCGGTGATGATCGCGCTCGCCAAGCACGGGAAGGTGACCAAGTACGACCTCAGCTCGCTGAGGTTCGTGTGTTCCGGCGCAGCACCAATAAGCAAGGATGTGATGGAGGACGTCGCCAAGCACCTTCCTCACGCTGATGTCGTCCAGGTAACACTCCCAACCACTTTTGCATTTGATCTCACAATTTCTTCTCCAGCCGAGTTGTATGTGTCTGTTTGATCGCACGCTTGGTGTTGTAAACAGGGTTATGGTATGACAGAGACCTGTGGAATTCTATCGCTGGACCTTCCTACCATCGGAGAGGTTCGTGAGTACGGTTCTGCAGGAATACTGGCGTCGGAAGTTGAAGCTAAAGTTGTCAACGTAGACACAATGGAATCTCTTCCACCAAATCAATTGGGCGAGTTATGCTTCCGCGGTCCCAACATAATGCCAGGTAGAGACTTGGATTCTGCATCTTGAGTAGGTAGAATTGCTCATACTATTTTGATAAGAACTGCAATCCCTGTTGCAATTTTGGACGAGTGATCTTAATCTGATTCGTATGACGAAGGAGGCTCCTTTGTCATCCATTCCAACCCTCCTCCCCTTCTGCGATCATCGTGTTTCGGAGTGATCCTTGAGGAACATCCTTATCATCATCTGGTCTTCTCCTTTGTGGCCTGTAATGGTTCCCCAGAAATCCATTCTCTACATTATCCCTATTGATCTGAAATATAATAATCTTATGTGCAGCGTGTCATGTTTATGACTTCTTCTTCTGTCTACTATATTGCAATTTGTATTATATGCTTTACAGTGTCCTTTTACCTCCTACCTGCTCAAACCAGCATAAAATCTCCTATCATTGTCGATCATCGACTTCAATTTTTAGCTTCAAGAAATAATTCTGGAAGAATATGTTCGATAAATCGTGCTATGTCGTGGTGTATACTAATATTTTCTTGTGCAAGAAGAATGCATTTTGTTTTTGCTGCTAAATTCGGCCTTCGATTTTTATCATCCAGAGTATCTTAACAATCCAGAAGCCACAAAATTGACTTTGAGGGAAGGCTGGTTACATACTGGTGATCTTGGTTACTTCAATGAAAAGGGACAGCTCTTCATCGTTGATCGAATAAAAGAGCTCATCAAGTACAAAGGATTTCAGGTAAGCGTTTATGTGATCAAATCGAATTCGATGATGAATCATTTGTCTTCCACACGATACTCTTCGAACATTAGATTGCCTATCCAAGATAACCTTTGAGACTAATCATGATGATGTAAAAAAGCTCTTGCATCTGATTCTTCTACCATCCACAGGTTGCACCAGCTGAACTAGAAGGATTGCTTCTGTCTCATCCCGAGATATTAGATGCTGCTGTAATTCCGTAAGTCGAGATTATTGCTCCGAATCAACTCACTTCTGATTGATCATCCATCACATTAGTTTGTTGAGTGCAAACTCTAAAAGATCACAACATCTCTTTGGGGGTTCCATGCAGGTTTCCTGATGCTGAAGCCGGCGAGGTTCCAATCGCTTATGTGGTACGATCTCCCACTAGTTCATTGACCGGAGAAGATGTCCAAAACTTCATCGCAAAACAGGTTATTATACTGAGTAAAACAATCTCCATTCTCAATTGAGCTTATGTTGCAAGTGCTTCTCTCTCAGTCTCTCCTTCCTCCGTTTCATGTCATCATCAATCAGGTTGCACCGTATAAGAGGCTGAGGAGAGTGACGTTCGTTAGCTCTGTGCCAAAGTCCGCCTCGGGAAAGATCCTACGAAGAGAGATGATCGAGAAAGTAAGATCAAAGTTGTAGAAGGTGGGGTGGTGGTAAACCATTGCTCGTGTTGTTGAATCTCCTACTTGTTTGTGACCAAATGCTGTTTCCACATGAATTCTACATGGAGCCGAATTATGTTCGAGTTCTTATCGGCTTCTCGAACTCTTAAAGTATAGCAAAAAGGATTACGTATAAAGAATAACACGATCAAGATTTGTCGAAAGCACTCTTCGGAGTTATCAGGCGATTGGCGTTCCCCAGCAGCCCTCAGACAGAGCACCGAGTTCTTCTTTGTAGTGCTTATCCGCATGGCGTAGGTAGCCAACACCCATGGCCTGATACTTCCAGAGTTTTGTCCATGTGTCAAAGAGGCCCAACACAAACACCTTTCACAAGCATGTCATCTCTCTTCCTCCCTCTCTGGATCTGACCGATCCCACTCTTTGTAACAATGGCTGTCTGTCGCCGGAAGCCTCCTCACGCCCTCCTCGTTCCTTACCCTCTCCAAGGCCACATCATCCCGGCTGTCCACCTCGCCACCAAGCTCGCTTCCAGGGGCTTCACCATCACCTTCGTCTACACCGAAGCCATCCACCACCAAACCTCACGCGCCGCCTCCGGCGTCGACCGCGACATCTTCGCCGCCGCCCGCGCCCGGGGCCTCGACGTCCGCTGCGAGCTTGTGAACGACGGCCTCCCCGTCGCCTTCGATCGGTCCCTCAACCACGACCGCTTCATGGGCTCTCTCCTGCACGTCCTCCCGGCCCACGTCGAGGAGCTCATGCGGAAGCTGTCGCTGTACGCGGACCCTCCCATCACCTACCTCATCGCCGATACCTTCTTCGTGTGGCCTTCCACCTTAGCCAAGAAGTTTGGGCTCCCTTACGTGTCCTTCTGGACCGAGCCCGCGCTCGTCTTCACTCTCTACTACCACTTGGATCTCCTCATCAAACACGGCCACTTCGCTTCTCATGGTATTTAATGCACGCCAATCCTTCCTCTTTCTTTCTCACGATTGCTGTAACGCCGGATATTGATCGTAGACAATAGCAAAGACACCATAACGTACGTGCCGGGAGTGGCGGCGATCGAGCCGGCCGATCTCATGTCGTACCTCCAAGAAAGGGACGTGTCGTCGGTGGTGCACCAGATCATCTTCAGAGCATTCGAGGAAGCAAAGGGGGCGGACTTGGTACTCTGCAACACGTTGCAAGAACTCGAGCCGGAGACCATCTCCGCTCTGCAGCTGGAGAAGCCGTTCTACGCCATAGGGCCGATCTTCCCGGCGGGATTCACCAAGAGCGCCGTGGCGACGAGCCTGTGGGCTGAATCGGACTGCTCCCGGTGGCTGGACTCGAAGCCGCCGGGCTCCATCTTGTACATCTCCTTCGGGAGCTACGCGCATATCAGCAGTCGCGACCTGAAGGAGATAGTGCAGGGGGTGCTGCGCAGCAAGGCCAGATTCCTGTGGGTGCTGCGGCCAGACGTCGTCAGCTCCGACGAGCCCGATCCGCTGCCCGAATCCTTCATCGAGGACAGCAAAGGAAGGGGGATGGTGGTGCCATGGTGCTGCCAGACCGCGGTGCTCTCGCACCGGTCGATCGGCGCCTTCCTGACGCACTGCGGCTGGAACTCGATCCTGGAGAGCGTATGGTGCGGGGTGCCGCTGCTCTGCTTCCCCCTCCTCACGGACCAGTTCACGAACCGGAAACTGGTGGTGCAGGATTGGAAGATCGGTCTTGACTTAGGAGAGAAGAACAAGGTGGGCAGGAAGGAAGTGGCAGAGAGGATTGAGAGCGTGATGGGAGAAGTGGGGGATGAGCTGAGGGAGAAGGTGAAGGACGTGAGAAGAACACTTGAGCGCGCACTCGGACCTCAGGGCTCGTCGCAGAAGAACTTGGATCGGTTTATAGCCGATCTAATGCAACATAGTCAGCAGCTTGATGGAGGGAGGGAGTCTACTCTGCGCCATTAAGCATGGTGTAAGGTGATAGAAATAATAGAATATAAGAATAATATAATATAAAAAGCTTTATTGAAGTAGATAAACTTTAGCTTGAATACATTAACATGTTCCTCTCCTATTTATAGGATTAAGAGGGAGGATTTTCCTCAACAGAATAGAGGATTTTTCTTAACAGAATAGATAAGATTTCCTCATATAGTGGGGAAATCTTATCTTCTATCATAAGGAGCCGAAGCAGTTATGGTGCAATAAGAGTGTGAATTATATATTATGTAGTTATAAAAAATAAAACATCTAATTTTATTTCTCCTTGGTTTATTGATGAAAGTATGAAAATATAAAAAATAAAAAATAATTTTAATGTTTTAATTATATTTTCGGTTGTTAAAAACGACGACGATGTTAGGGATCGTGGATGAATATTGTGAATGAGGAGGGAAAGCGACAATGAAAGTTGAGGTAAAAAGAGAGGAAGAAGAGGACGATGTAAATACTAACGCTCTGCATTTGTGTCGACATTGCTCGGCAACTATGTCAGCGACTTTGGTGATCCATGATGCGGTGGTAATGATTAGCCTCACAGGTACTCTGGAGCATGCTACTAGTAGTTGGAACACCACCCAATTGCCCCTTTTCGTTGTCTCATCCTACTCCAAAAGCTTAATCGAGAACCAAGACAACTCCAAAAACTTAATGACGAACCATAATGCGGCTGTAAGGGCCACTCATAATGGTAGGCTAGTGGTCATTTCCTGGTGCGGGCCAACAATATAGATTGCCGCTTCCATGCATCATCGTTCGCGCTGCAATCCCATCCTTTTGCTTCATGCTAGTAGGACATTCTCCATCCTCTCCTCAACCAAACTATGTCATTGCTTTATTGTCGTTGGTCGAGGATCTGTGGGCTTTATCGCTCCAAGTGCCACCTTGGACTTGGAGATGAAGAGACAAGAGCTAGAGAATGAGAAGGTCACAGAGTGCGAAGGGGAGGCAGCATGGTTGGGATCACAGGAAGCACAAAGGAAGCAAACTCACCACGAATCTGTGTCAGAGACATGATAGCCAGTGTCGAGGAAGTGGCAAGCAGCACAAGTGACTTGGTGGTGAGCCACGAGGAAGTTATTAGCATCGTCGTTCTGTATCTTCGTCGGTGCCGATGTAGTTGTCACAGCCTCCAGTGGTGCCATCATCTATCATCATCGAAAATATAATTAAAATATTAAAATTATCTTTTTTATCTATCGTTTTTGTACTTTCTCGGTAAAACTGATTATGTTAGAATAAATAATAATAAGATGATACTTCACTGGTTCGATCCACTGTTATTAGCATCGTCCACAAAGTTGCCTCTGTATATGCGATGAGTGCTGATTCTAATAAGCCAGGATGATGATGTGTTAAGTAATTATGCAAGGTCGACAAATATCTCAAGCAAATATTTTCTTAAGATGCACTTAATCTTCTATAACATGTCAGTTATAGATTCAATACTATAATCAGTAGTTCCTTAGCTACGATTTTGTTAATTATAATTATTTTTTTAACAAATGATACATAATTGAGACGGAATTTAACCAACTGATAAACTATGGTAATTGACACTTTCAATAATTATATGGTTTCAAACTCTTAAGCTAAATCCACATTTTAAGGCCTTGGTGAATTAAGTCATATTATTTTTTCTTATAGTTTTTTTATAAGTTTGACTTATCAAGCTTATGCGGTTGTTTTTACGACGACGACGACGATGATGATGATAAGTAGATTGACTCATGAAAAAGCTGAAATCTTAATCGGATGGTAGTATTTATCGAATACATAAGATTATTTTTACGGATGTGATATTTAAGACCAAAAATCGTGTGTCTAATTGACATTAATACGATAAGAAAAGAGGGATATATCAAGAAATTGATACTGCCACATTTCCTCGTTCAGAAAAGAAAGTGTGGGATTCCAAACCTCAGGATATGCAATTGACTTTGGCAAATTAGGTTCGTGCTGATAGTCTCCACAAAAAAGGTCAACCTCGAGAGTCAAACCAAAACAATTGAAGACTGCATTTATGAGGGTGGGGAAAAAAGAGAAAGAAATGGAGGGGTGCTGATTTAAAGTCGTATATATTCACTATCACATCACTTTTCAGCTTATCAAACCTCTCACGTTGGAAAGTTGACTTTTGTCATTGTATAGTAGTGTTTTGGAAGTGCAACGACGACTCACAAACAGCTTAGGGCAGGACAATCCGACCACATTTAATGGTTGATTAAGTAATTTACTATACAGAAAATTGAATACGATCTTTGATTGATTTCTCTCATGAAAATAATAAATAGCATTCGTGTGCTTGCTTCTCTAACTCCGCTTACGACTAATTTATTGAGGTCGATGCAATCAAACTCATATCAAATTGATTTGATAATGATAATGATAATCCGAACGATTGATTTGATAATGATAATAATAATAATCAAATTGAAATTGTATTATTCTTTCATTCATATACATACTTTTTACTTATTGGGGTTAATCCTCCTATCCTTTCTGTAAGCGTGCATTCATGTATTCCACCCATTCACCTGTCAGCCAACTAATTAAAATTGAATTATATTTTTCGAACATCAAACATTTCATGTCATATATTTAGTAGTTTGTTATATGTAATCCCTAAAAAAATAATAAAATATAATTTTACTATTTTAGTCCATCGATTATCAATTTTACCTTTTTGTTCCTCACAACCCTCTTATAGTTGCTTCTCATTCTACTTGTCAACTCTCACTAATCCTTGTTATTTTGATATGGACATACTTTCCCCATTCCCAAGAAGATTATGATGGAGTGAAACTACCAAATCAAGTCAACTATAATTATGGTTGAAATGATCCAAAACATGAACAGTAATATATA